AAGCATGGTATGGGACGTGCAGGTCTGCTTGTCCAGTTATATGAATTAATGGGATTTAGATGAAGAGCATTCATGCATTGTTACTAATAATGTGAAATTTGGCTGCTTGATTATTTGTCACTTAATTTAATTATATCAATTTATAGTAAAAAGGTTTATGTCCCTACTGAGCTGTGGTTTCGCTCACCCCCTAATAGATTTTGCAGGTACCGAACCTGAAATCTAGAGCTTGTGATGATTTTTGGCATGTCTATAGAATGTAACATAGCTTGTGGTTGAATAATGAGCTACTCTTTAAGTGAACTCTCGAGTAGTTCTAACTTGTAAAATAATGTAAAATTTTTATGGTTTCAAATGTTATCGTTTCCGCATTTCTGCTGAATATTTTATGTGAAATATCTATTTTATTTATTTAAATGTCTTCTTCACATTTTAGTTATAATTTTTATTAAATTCTATAATTAAGGTGTGAATCACGTCTTAACCCAAAGTTTTGTAAATCCGAGGTTTGGGGTGTGACAAGTACAAAGCACGACTAGTTGCTAAGTGTTACTGTCAACAATATGGGATAGATTATGCAGAGGTATTCGCACCAGTTGCTCGTCTAGACACCATTTGAATTGTCATTTCCCTTGCTGCTCAAAAGAATTGGGTGATCTACCAGCTAGATGTGAAGTCAACATTTTTGCATGGGGAGATCAATGAAGAGGTATTTGTTGATCAACCATCTGGATATGAACAGAAGGGGCATGAGTTAAAAGTGTATCGACTCAAAAAGGCTCTATATGGACTTAAATAGCCCCCCCGAGCCTGGTATAGTCGTATAGAGTCATATTTCATCAAGGAGGTATTCAACAAGTGCCCTTATGAGCATACCTTGTTCATTAAGACAGCAGAATGAGGTAAGATCTTGATAGTGTGTCTTTATGCTGATGATCTCATCTTTAGTGGTAATGCTGCAACAACGTTTGAATAATTTAAGAAGTCTATGATGGTTGAGTTCGACATGATAGACCTTGGAAAAATGAGATATTTACTGGGCATTGAAGTGATACAAGGTTTTGATGGGATCTTTATCAGTCAACAAAAGTATGCTCAAGAGGTCTTGGAGAGATTCAACATGGTTCAATGTAATTCAGTACTCAACCCCGTGGTTCCTGGTTTTAAACTCACAAAGGATGAAGGAGGAGTCGAAGTTGATAGCATTATTTACAAACAGATGGTGGGAAGCCTCATGTATTTAAGAAGCACACGTCCTGATTTAATGTATATTGTTAGTTTGATCAGTCAATACATGGAGCGTCCAATTGAAGCTCACTTGTTGGCAGCAAAAAGGGAGGAAAGGTATGTAAAAGGGACTATTGATTTGGGGATATCCTACAAGAAGGGAGGAAAGGATGAGCTTATTGGGTATACAGACAGTGACTATGCTAGTGATCAAGATGATAGGAAAAGCACCCAGATGTGTGTTGCTTAGGATAAAGAAGAAGGAGATAGAAGGTGAGGCACTTGGGCTTGATGTTAGCAGTTAGAGGGTAAGCTTGCTCAACTGATTTGGTTGAGTTTAATGGGTAGGAGGTACCTCTTTTTATAGCCATTGGAAGCTCCTCCTTCCCAAGAAACCCTAATGGGTTCTCTCCAATTTTACCAAGTCTCCCATTTCATTTCTCTTATCTCCCTTCGATCCATCTGATTTTGTGAAATCCTCCTCCACCCAATTGCACCAAAAACAGGGTTTTGGGAGCTCTAGGCTTATCAGTGGTGATTTCTTATTTTTGCCTGTCATTTCTCCTCATTTCTTCCCTTATTTCATGGCAAGATATGGTGGGGGGAAAGAAATGGTTAAGTACGCTGGTTTGAAGGGTGTTTTGCTTAAGTATGCCTTGGTTTTTCTGATGGCTTGCATTGGGTTTGTCTTCGGTCATGTGCTGGAATCTCCCAGCTTCCTGAGCGTACAAACATCTTCTGGTTTTCTATTGTGGTTTCATTTCAAACCATGTGCTGGAGCTTCTTTGGATATTTTCTAAGCCACTTGGGCTATTTGGGCCTTCCTAAGGTGATGAGTTAGCCCATTAAGAACATGGGCTAATTTTCTAGGGTGTTTGGGCTTTTTTCTCTCTTTTATGCTTACTCACATATTTGGGCTCAAGAAATGGGCTTGAGTTTTGGGACTCCCAAGCAGCCCAAAAACTTCCATTTCTCTGCTCATCAATGGGCCTCGTGAAAGCTCGTTACCATTCATACCACAACCCACTCAAGCAAGCCTTGACATTTGCGTGGCTTGGGCCCACTTAAGCTTGTAGCGTGGCTATGTGTGAAATAAAGATTCCTGCTTAGCATGGCATGTCGATTGGTGTGCTTGAATTTTATCGTCTTTGAAAAGAGACATAATGCTTGACGGAATAATTAGCATGAACTTGTAGAGCCAATGCCTTTTATAGACTCATTTTAATTCTTAGCGTGATAAATTGCATATTTATTTGGCATGGCACGTGGTCCTGGCTCGTGAAAGCGTGCATGACGAATTTTGCATGCTTCGAACCGGGTCTTTTCTTAACGAGGTGTAGCACTGGGCTAGGAATTTATTTGGGCCCAACCCTAGATTTTTAGGCCTCAACATTAGCCCCCTTAATTATTAGGGCCATGGATAAGTGCTGGAATTGGCCGAATAATTAAACCTGACCCATAAATCAAATTCATAAGCTCAAGTTGTTATTTTGTGGTTTCCCAGATACCAACTTCCTTCTTCTTTTTCATTTATTATTTCTTCCTTCTTCTCCTTCCTCTTTACGCGTACTAGAGTAACCCTCTCCCCATCACCTTCATCTTCTTTTTCCTTTTCTTCCTCCAACGAACTCAGAGTGAGAGAGAGAGAGAGAGAGAGAATGAAATCAAGAAGAACCGCCTGTCTACAACCATTGGAAGGGAGCTCAAGCCAAACCCGACTCCATTATTCCTCGCATGAAGAAACCCACTTGCTATTGCTGGATGAGATTGTCTTTGTGCAGACTTTTCTTGCAAAATTCCCAATTCTTTCTTTCTTGGTGCATCTGAGGCTATCATTTGAGGGAATTAACAAGGTATGCCATTTTTTCTTGCAATTTCTTGAATCTATTGAGGGGTTTGTTGGGTTCTTCATGGCCATGGGTTTTGCTCTTTGTTTTGGCAGCCAAGCGCCCACTCCTTTTGACCCATCCATCTTTTGTCGGAGTAATTGTTGGAAAGGAAGGATTTGCATCAGTTTTTGGGGTTATCCCCTTTTTGATTTCTTTCTTTTTGGAAAGCTGCTGGAAGAGTGCGAACTTTGTGAGAAGAAATCATTGGTATGGATTGCATCCTTTTCTTTTCTCCATTTTTCTTCATTGTTTGCTGGGCCCCCTCTGTACTTAGTGAAAAAAGGCTAACTTTTGTGTGATCCACTGCTTCTGTGTTTGTAGATTTGTACGTCTTTAGCATAGGAAAGGGAGAGGTGCTGGAAGCCTTTGTCGCATTCCTTAGTGCTGGAAGCTCTGAGCATGCTAGCTTCATCTAGACCTCTGTCTTGGTCTTTTGGTAAGTAGCTCTGCTCATTTGCTGGAATCTCAGGTCCTTCTTTTGGCTTTGTAGGAATAAACATAGACTGGTGTTTGGCCTAGGCTCATCCTTCCTGTGAACACTTGCTTGATTAGCTTTGGTCTTTCTCCATGGGAATTGCTTGTCGATCATGAAACAAGAATTTTGCTTTGCATTCTGCTTGGGCATTTGCTTAAACGTTTATTTTGCGTGAGCTTGTCTTGCCATGCTTGGCGTATATTTTGCGTGTGCTACGTTCTTGACCCTTTTTATTGTTGTTGAATTATATGCTTCACAAGCGTATGCTTGTAACCGCATGATTAAAACACAGGATTAGAGGCTGTTGAAAGCATGAGGAAAGCACCATTGGTTTCTTTTATGGGCTTAGAGCTTGGTCATGGATAACTATTTATTTTTTTGACTTTATAGGGATAGATATGAACATGTGTATGATAGGTCTGCAAGAATGTTGTGTAACTCAAATGGATTTTGTTTTTGTTTTGGTGAAAAAGATTACTAGGAGGTAAATAGTGTTCAGTTTGCAACACTTGCTTTGTGAAAAAGAAAGGTCTGTTGGAATGATTGATTGAGCATGAAATAAGAACTTTGCTTGTCATGAGCTCGAGTAATAGATTGCATGATGCTTCAAAAAAAAATTTTGTTTATGCATTTCGCTTGGCATGAGATAGCTTGCTTTGCTTGGCATGTGAAGTTTACATTGCTTGCATGCTAGTGTGGAGATTGTTTGGCTTTAACATAGAGAACTAACTTTATACTTTGCCCTTTTGCAGCATATTCTTTGTTGGCAACTCTTGCAGGGATTCATGTAATAAGTCACAATGACATCTGTGATGAGTGATGGCCTATTTCCCCTTGCGCGATGGGCTGAAGAATGGACGGCTACCTTCATAGCTTAGAAACACTTGCTAAGACTCGACCATAGGGACTTGATAAGCTTTAGAGGCTACTCTTATTTCCAGGTGTTGTATAGAAGAAATGCATGTTTCCGACTGCCCTTTGATTTTTCCAACACCCTTGCAGCATCACTAAGGGAGTAGTGTGCTGAAAGGGTTGGAGCTTGTGTCTTATTAGGACCTCGTGTGGACTTCCTACTAGATACTTAAAAGAAGTTATAACACATTGTTTTTAGAGCACGAACTGCTTGTAGCATAAAGATGCATGCCCGATCCCCTTAAGCAAGAATTGCCGTAAATGCATTGAGCCTTAAGGAACACAAATTGGAAAGCCAGTGCCGTAAGCTACGAGACCTTCTCCTTGATAAATGAGCGATTGAGAATGGCGCTTGGCGAGTGGTGGAAACATCGAAAGGATCATATCTCCGCGGTTCTTTTGTTCTGTTTTAGCCATGCACCGTGATCTAGTTGAGGTACCCAATTCTTCTTCTTTGCACTGCACTATATATAATTTTTTTTTAGCAAGGCCATATCTTCCAACACCATCTTTCTCTAACGCCTATCCTTATTTCGCCTTGCAGGTCGCATTTCTTTGTTGTAGGGGGCTAGCTGGCTCGGTGCGTAGTAGCTTTTTCTCTTGAAACCACAGAGTGTATCAATCTTTAGCATAGTTGGCTGCATTTGGGCTTGAGTTGTAACCTCTTGGTTTTTTTGGAGAGCCTAAAGCCCATGTTGTTGGAAACTTGAAACACAGCATTGTTGCATACTTTCTGTCAGAACTATTAATGTAGAATGCTTGAGATATTAAGCTTCGGCTTATTTTGTATGCCTTGCTTGGTTGAAAATGATTGAATGCATGAATTGTTGGGGTTTGGAATGCATTGAGATAATGATTTCCAGCTTGTCCTGTACACTTTGCTTGTTTGGAAATAATGAAATGCATGAGTTGCTTGAGATTTTAACAGGTTGGGCTGTGGTAGGTGCAAGGTACATGCTGCCAATTTTTTTACAGGAACACAAAAGTGTTTGCCCCATTGCCTCTGCGTTTTTTTTTTCTTCTACCTCCACAAGGCCTTTCTTATGCGATCTGATTTTTCTTTCATAGCACCCCAACACATACACTTTCTTCAAATATTGCAGGGACTGGAACTATTTTCCATGATAGCATGACCTCCCTTTTTTCTTTTCAAGATTGACACATGATATTGCTTGTGCGTGGTGCTTGTTAACAGCTTGGGGTCCCATCTAAGTGGCTTTACTTGGTATAGTTGCTGCTGAAAGGCTTAGTTTTGTAAAGAAAAGTTTGCTTGTCTTTTTTTTTTTTTTTTTCCAAAGAACATGTTTTGCAGAAGAGAAGAATATAAGAGCAAGGAAAGAATTCTAGAGGCTTTTTTTCATTTTCCAAAATACTCCATTCAATATCATCTTACACCTTGACATGCCATAATGGTGGTGCATTATACAAAAGTTGTGAAAGCATATTGTGAAAACATATAAGGAGTTCAACTTTGAAATAAATTTGAAAAACCAAAAACAAAAGGATAGGTGCAAAAGCAACTCAGCAGTAGTAAGGATTTGAGCTATTTTGCATTGACAAATACTCTCATCAAATTAAGCCCCCAAGTATGGAAGGGCCAAGGAGTGTGCATGACTTGTAGTAGCATAAAAGCTTGTAGCTGAGGTTAGCATGTATTTGGCATGTGTTGTACTAGGCTGTCATGCTCTGCAGAGATATTTAACAGAGCCACATCCTCTACTTTCCTTGCATGCGTCTCATAACCCAACTAATCAGAGAGTGATTTGTGACTTACAACCCATCACATTTTCTTCAACTTCTGTGAGGTTATGAGAGATTACGGCAGCTGTCTCTCGATAATCTTGCTGACCAAATGAAGCCCCCAAGTGGTGTTCTTCCAGCATGTCCAATGTGAATACTTCGCTGCTGGAATTATCCTCCCATCCATCAGCAAGTGGCCATGGGGTGCTATAACTTGAAGGTTTTGAATATTTA